ACACTGAATTTTTACATATACCTTGTGTTTTCTAATCCTGCTAAATTCAAATACAAGTTCTAGGGGCTCCTAGAGATTTCTTAGTATTTTCTCTGTAGATGATCATTTCATCTACATAAAAAGATTTTGCTTCTACCTTGCCAATCCTATCCTAATTGTGTCATTTTATTGCCAGACTATTTTGGTTTGGGTCTAGGTTTCAAAGTTTAATGGACAGATGAAGAGTAAACATATCTGCCCTTGTTCCCCACCTTAAGGAGAAAGCATTGTATCTTCTCCATTCATATAAGAAGTTCTCGATGGAAGTATGGAGTACAAGTCTTTAATCTGTTGAGAAAGTTCTGTTCTACTTCTAGTCTCCTGATAGCTTTTACCATGAACAGCTGTAAAATTTAGTCCAATACTTTTTCTCCAACTAGTGACAGGATCATATGGCTTTTTCCTTTCCTCTGTTCAAATGATGACTTTTGGGGGTGGATCTTCCAATGCTGAACCAACACTGCCATCCCTATAATAAAACCACTTTCTACATCCTGCCAGATCTGACTTCAAATAGTTTGTTTTCTTAAATTTCTATCTATGTTCATACTTTTTTCTTCTATTATCTTTATCCAGTTTAGGATTAGCACAATGTTGAGTTCCTAAAATGAGGGGAGAAGTGTTCCTTTTTTTTTTCTGCTTTAAATGTTTGATATAATTTATCAGTTAAAATGTATATGAGCCTGTTGTTGTCATATAGGTAGGTTTTCAAGCTAGGCATGTACTTTAATAGGTGCTATTCAAATTTTATATTTCCTCCAGAGTTAGTTTCATTAATTTGTCTTCCAAGGTACTTCTCAGATGTTGTCAAATTTATTTTAAAACAGATTTTTGTAATATGCTTTCTGTATCCTTTTAAATTCTGAAAAATCTGTGGTAATGTCTCCTAGGTCTTGATATTTTAATTTTAAAAATGTATAATTGATATTGTGTAATAGGAAGTAAAGGTCTAAAGGAGCAGGGGAAGTGGGAGGGGTAGGGGAAAGGAAAGAAGGGAAAAGAAAAAACATGAGAAAAGGAAAAAAATGGAAACAAAATCTTTGCAAATAGGGAAGGATGGAGGGGGTGAAGGGAGAGCAGGGGGGAAAAAAAATAAGAATCAAGATTCTCATGTAATGGTACAAGATCCCAATGATGTATGTAAATGTATTTTATACCTAAAATGTACCAATAAACTTAATGGGGGAAAAAAAAAGCACTTTGAAAATAAGGAAAAAAAAAATACCTGTACAGAGAAAAAAAATTTGTTTTTATACTCATTTTCTTTCTTTTTTTACCCCCTTTCCCTTTTAATTTTTCTATTTTTATTCTCCGTAGAATTTCTTTCATTTTCTATTTCTCATTTGTTTTTTTCTGTTATCTTTATCTAATTATATAAATAGCCTGTTCCTTAATAGGATCTTTTGTCTCATTTTCCTTTCCTTCACATCTCCCATTGTTTAATTTTTCAAATTTTTCTTTCATTCTTTCATTCCCAACACCCTGTATCTTTAAAGTATGACCATTAAGTTTTATTAATCTTCAGATAATTAACTCTTTGTTACTACTGTTGAATTCTTTTCTATCATTAGTGGAAGTAAGTTGTCAAATTTAGTAGACCTACTGTATATCAATATTTGGTTTGTCTTATGCTTATAATTTCAGATTTCTCAGGTTAAAAATGGTGCATTAATGATTTTTATGATATGTCAATATCTAGTTTGTTTTAGATGATATTAATATTGCATTTACTTGATATTGCCAATCTGATAAAAGCCATTTATTTTATTTTATTTTTTTGTACCGGGGATCAAACTTGGGACCTTGTGCTTACAAGGCAGGTGCCGGAACCACTGAGCTAAATCCCCAGCAATATATATATATTTTTTTGGTAAGGGGGCTTGAACTGGGGTCCTTGCGCTTGTGAGGCAGGCGGTGGAACCACTGAACTAAATCCCCAGCCCTGATAAAAGCCATTTATGACAAACCAACAGCCAACACATCATATTATCATGTTCATGATAGGATGGTAATTTTTATGTCTTGTTGCTGGGTGGCTGATTTGAATTTGATCGTCTTGCTGGCTTGAATTGCCCGTAGTATATGCATGGCTATCCGAAAAAATGTTGGATGCTGTTGCCACAAAAAAAGCCAAATGCGCCGGGGATTTAGCTCAGTGGTTTCGCCGCCTGCTGCGCAAGCGCAAGGACCCAAGTTCGATCCCTGGTACCAAAAAAAGGAAAGCCAAATGCTTATGTTTTGCACACTCTGCACAAATCAGTCACTTTTATCTACAAAATGTTTTGAAGAAATTCACAAATATAAATAATTTCCTTTAATTTAATGAAATAAATTTGATTATTGTAATAATTTTTAAATTGGTATTAATGGTATTAATTAATTTATATTTGGGCAGTAATTAATCAAATTCAAGCAACTAACTAGATTTGATCCATTTACAGAATTTTTATTAAATTTATTACTAAAAAGACTGATAAAAGTGATTAGGTCCATTTCAACTGTCAATGGTACAAGCTGCCAGGACAGTCATGGCATTTACCACCAGTGGTTCAAACCTGTGGGAGCATGTTAAATGGGGAGAAGCCGAAAGCTCTCCCTCTAAAATCAGGAACAAGACAAGGATGTCCATTATCACCACTCCTGTTCAACATAGTTCTCGAAACATTAGCCAGAGCAATCGGGCAAGAGAAAAAATAGGGAGACAATAACAAGAAAACATCAAATTAACATTATTTACAGATGACACGGTCCTCTACATAGAAGAAACCCAAAATTCCAAAAGACTCCTAGAATTAAAACCAAATTTAGCAGCTAGCAGGATGAAAAGTCAACACACAAAAATCGTAATACCAATAATACCAATAATAAACTCACCAAAAAAAGAAATCAGGTAAATGATATCTTTGACAATAGCATCAATAAGAATTAAATACTTAGGAATTAATTTAACCAAGGAAGTAAAATATAATGTGTTTGGGGATTTTTTTTTTTCAGTACTGAGGATCATCTCAGAAACTAGTGTTTGCGAGGCAGGCGCGGTACCACTGAGCTAAATCCCTGGCCCTAAAAGACCTGTAATGAAAACTATAGTACTCTGAAATAGATCAAAGAGGGCCTCAGAAAATGGAAAGGTACCTTCTGTTTCTACATAGGTAGAACAAATACTGTTAGTCAAAATGGCCATACTACCAAAACTTATATACAGATTTTGTTTTTTAGTATATGTGCTGCCGAAGCAAGCACTTTTTTTTTTGGTATCGGGGATCGAACTCAGGACCTTGTACTTGCTAGGCAGGCACGGTGCCACTGAACTAAATCCCCAGCCCTGATATACAGATTTAACCCAATTCCAATTAAAATACAAACAACAGAACTAGAGAAAACAATTCTTTTTTTTTCGGTACTGGGGATTGAACTCGGGATCGAGGCAGGCGGTGGCACCACTGAGCTAAATCCCTGGCCCTAGATAAAACAATTCTAAAATTCACATGGATCCAGAAGAGGTCTAGCACAGCAAAAGCATTCTTTGCCAATAACAGTAATGGCAGGAGGCATCACAATCCCACACTTCAAGTTACACTATAAAGCTAGAGTGCTAAAACAGTATGGTATTGAAAAACAAAACAATACAAAAAAAGACAAGTGGGTCAATGGAGCAGAACAGAGGATGCAGAAAGAACCCCAGGCACAGCGACCTGATCTTTGACAAAGAGGCCAAAAACATGCTGGAGAAAGGATACTTTCTTTAATAACAAATGGTGCTTGGAAAACAGGCTGTTCACATACAGAAGATTAAATCTAGACCTGTATCTCTCACCATGAACCAAACTAAAATAAAAATGATTCAAAGATCTAAATATTAAAACAGAAACACTTAATCTGCTGGAAGACAAAATAGGTGAAACTCGAAGACAAAGGTGTAGCCAAGGGTATTCTGAACAGAGCCTCAAGTTTGCAAGAAATAACACCAAGACTCAACAAATGGGATCACGTCAAATTAAGAAACTTCTGTACAGGCAAGGAAACAATCAACAGAGAGAAGAGACAACCTATAAAATGGGAAAAAAAATTTTGCCAGCTATTCCTTGAACAGAGAGCTAATATCTAGACCAGTGGTGGCGAACATACAGTATACCTGCCACAGTGGGGTGTTTATATCACTGATACCTCTAAAAGGTTCACTATCACTGATCTGGACTATATGAAGAACTCAAAAAAATTAACCCCCCCAAGATAAAAGACCCTATCAAAAAATGGGCAACTGAAATGAACAGATACTTCTCAGAAAAGAAATACAAATGGCTAATAAGTACATGAAAAAATGTTTAACATCTCTGGTCATAAGAGAAATGCAAATTAAAATAACACTGAGATTCCATCTTACTCCAGAAACAATGGCTATCATCAAATCAAATAACAACAAATGTTGCTGAGGTGGCAGGGGGAAAAAGAATGCTTCTGCATTGTTGGTAGGAATGTAAACTAGTACAACCACTATGGAAATCAGTCAGTATGGAGAGTCCTCAAAAAACTAAAATGAGAAATTCCATTTGACCTAGCTATTCCCCTTGTAAATATCTTTCTGAAAGAGTTAAAGACATCATATTATAGTGATACATGCATTCCCATGTGAACAATTATAAATAAAAAAGTATTAACAAACAAGAAGCTTTTCAAACATATTCTTCACAAACTAATTAAACATTTGAGAAATGCTAAAAAGTATCTCTAAGTCTTAGATTTCATCAAAGTCTTTAGGGTCAAATTATTTGTAAGGGTGTGTTACAGGAACCTAAAACTGATTAACCAGGGAATAATACTTCAATGACTTCAGAAAGAAAAGTTAACACATTCTTGTTTGGTGTTTTTAGATTTACTTTGGTCTGTAAACAATTTGCAAGATAAAAAAAACTCAGTGTTCTTATCATACAAAAGGCCTGTAATCATTAAATCAATCTTACCTTTAGCTCTACTTGTATGAACTCTTGCACGCACCCAAACAACTTCATCAGCTTTTTGTACTGTCAAGTCTTTAACCAAAGCCAAAACTCGATCTGCAATAAACAGTAAGGCAATTTTTACATTCGGAATTTACACTTTTTTTCTAAGAGCCTGAAAACTTAGGTAATTCTAAGTCTTTGATAATACTTTCTTCTCTATTGCCTTCAGTACAAAATTTTATCATGGTTTTCATGACCAAAAGCAAAGAGAATGAAAGAGGAATTTCAAAGCCACCAGGCATCATAAAAGGATTTCTACAAAATACTGCCAACAGACTTTATGAGTCAAGCCAACTTCCAACTCTTGTATAAACTCAGGTAAAACAGTGAAAGAGTAAAGTCAGACAAAGCATCATAAAATTTGAAAATGATGATCTGAAAATCCTCAGACTAAAGGACCTGAGTTCGATCCCCGGTACCAAAAAAAAAAGAAAATCCTCAGACTGAAAAACACTTAGCTTACTGACTAGGTAATAAAAATTTAAACCTAAACACAATAGTATGAACCTGAAAGAGAAGACTAAAAGAGTGATGGTTAGGATAATATTTAAAGTCACTAGTGAGGCAGATGGCTAGGCGATGGATAAAGCTAGCTGGGAAAGTAGGTGTGACCTGTTAATTACAAAATCCAGGAGGGTGTGACAGACTATCTTGGAAAGCAGGTGAAACCTCTTAATTACAAAATCTCAGGACCCATGTGCAGAACAGTTCCCAAAACCCTGCATGTGGACTTCTCATGAGAACCTGAGGTTTTTGATAGGACAGTCCCAGACTGGGTGCCAGTCTAGGAAATATGAAAAAAAGCACAGCTGCCATTGAGCTCTTGCTATCATGTCCTCTAGCCCACTCTGTCCCATACAGTGTACTTATTTTTTTCCTACTTTTACTTGGCCCAAACTCACATCTATGGAGCCTGTTTTTTCTAACCTTTAATATATGTAAAACCTTATTACCATTTGTGCTTGTCTGGACCAATTCTTTGCTTAGGACAGAAAAAAATCTAGAAATCACCTCTAGGAGACTCCAGCACCCCAAAACCTGGTAATACTAGCATTACAGTAAAGGAGTTTGGGGAAATATAAGCAGATGGGAAAGGAAACCATTTTGAGCAAAGTATTAGGATTTTTGTTGTGGTGTTAACTCAAATTACAGCATGCCAAAGGAGCTAGGGAGGACAGTAGGTCAATGGGCTCGAGGGTCAGATGGCCTGGGTTCTAATCCCAGGTCTGGCAGATTCTTGGCAGTGAGGCAAGTTTCTTATTTTCCAACTTTGGTTTGTTAGAATTTTTAAGCATTTTTGTAAGGATAAATATGAAAATGAATGTTGGGAGAGAGTCAAGCAGAATAGGAATTTAATAAATAATAGACAAAAATAGAATGCAGTAAATCATCAAAAAGATCATGCACCATGACAAAGCAGGATCATCCCAAGGATGCAGGGATGGTTCAACATACACAAATCAATAAATCATCAACAGAACTAAGGACAAAAACCACACGACCATCTCAATAGACACAGAAAAAGCATTTGAGGAAGTGCAACACCCATTCATGATAAAAACTCTTAAAGAAAATTGGAAAAGATGGTCTTTATCTAAATCTGATAAAAGCTACCTATGACAAACCAACAGCCAACATCATAGTAAATGATCAAAAACTGAAATCTTTCACTCAAAAATCAGGATAAGGCAAGAATGTTCACTATCACCACTACTGTTGAATATAGTTCTAGAAGCATTAGTCAGAGTAATTCGACCAAAAAAAAAAAAAAAAAAGAAATAAAAGGGATATGGATAGGAAAAGAAGTTATATTGCCATTATTTGCTGATGACATGATACTCTACATAGAAAAAACTCTACCAAAGACTCCTGGAATTAATAACCAAATTCAGTAGTGTTGTGGGATACAGAGTCCACACTCAAAATCAACAGCAGTCCTGTCCAGACAACAAACTCACTGAGAGAGGAATTAGCAAAACAACACCTTTCACAATGGTATCAAGAAAATGAAATATTTAGAAATCAATCTAATGAAGGAAGTAAAAGACCTTTACATTGAAAACTACAGAACTATGAAAAAACAGATTGAAGAGGATATCAGAAAATGGAAAGATATCTCTTGTTCTTGGACAGGCAGGACCAACGTATTGAAAATAGCCATACTTTCAAAACTGTTTACAAATTTAATGCAACCCCAATCTAAATCCAAACAGCATACCTCACAGAACTATAGAAAACAATCCTAAAATTCATATGAGAAGAAGAGACCTAAAATAGCAAAAGCAAATCTGGGCAACAAGGACAAGACAGGGGGCATCACAGTTCTCAATCTGAAGTTATACCATAAAGCTACTGTGATAAAAATAGCATAGCACTGGCAAAAAGAATCCAAGGATCAACAGAACAGAAACAGAAGATGCAGAAACAACTCCAAGCACACTCAGCTACCTTATCTTTGACAAAAGGGCCACACACCTTCACTGGAAGAAAGATAGTCTCTTTAATAAATGATACTGGGACCAATGGGACCCAGGTCCAAATGGGCAGATCCCAGAGCTCATCTTCTACGCCTGAGGCTGAGGGCCCCAGAGAGTGCACCACCTGGCCCTTTCTCTGCCAGAAGCCACCCAGTAAGGGCAGAGAAGGTGTGGGGACAGTGCTGACTGCCTTGTGGCACTGTTAAAGGCTTCACTACTTCTATCAGCTTGAATCTGTGAACAGGCACCTTTTCCACACAGTCAGAGCCTGGAGGCTGAGGCTTGGTGTTTCCTGTTCATGGGGCAAACGCCTCTGGTGGGGAGGGAGAGTTGGGACCTGACCCAGGCTCCAGATTCCTGCCCAGTGGCAACCAAGCTTTGGGCACTTGGATGTTCCTCCCAGCCTTTTGGATTCCAAGTAGTTCCAAGCTTGCCTTGAGACCTTCCCTTCAAATAAAAATCACTGAAAAGTTAAAAAAAAAAAATGGTGCCGGGAAAATTGACTTTCCACATGAAGATTAAACCTAGACCCATATCCCTTACCATTCACTAAACTAAAATTGAAACAGATCAAAGATCTAAATATAAAAACAAACAATCCACTGGAAGGTAGCATAAATAAAATTCTTAAGACGTAGGTATAGGCAAAGATTTTATGAACAAACCCCAATCACAGAGGAAATATTACAGAGAATCAACAACTGGGATTACATCAAATTAAAAAGCTTTTGGACAGTAAAAGAAACTACCAAGTGAAGAGACAGCCCACAGAAAGGGAAAAAATTTTTACCACCTATTCCTCACACAAAGGGCTAATATCTAGAATATATAAAGCACTTAAAAAAGTTAGACCTCTCAAATTTAAAGACCCTATCCAAAAATGGGCATCTGAAATGAATGGACACTTCTCAAATGAAGAAGTAGAAACAGCAAATAAATATATGAAAAAATGTTCAACATCACTGGTCATTCGAGAGATGAAAGTTAAAACACCAAGATTCCATCTCACTCCAGAAAGAATGGCTATCATTAAGAAATCAACCGGGCCAGGGATTTAGCTCAGTGGTTCTGCTGCCTGCCTCAGAAGCGCAAGGACCCCAGTTCGATGCCTGGTACCAAAAAAAAAAAAAAAAAAAGAAATCAACCCATAACAAATGCTGGTAAGGCTGTAGGGCAAAAGGAACGTTTCTCCATTGTTGGTGCGAGTGTAAATTGGTACAATCACTGCAGAAATCAGTATGGAGATTCCTCAAAAAACTTGAAACTAGAGGTTCCATTTGAGCTTCTGCTCCCCTTCTAGGTATCTCCCCAAAAGAGTTAAAAGCAACATACCACAGTGATTTATGGATACTCATGTTTATAGCAGCACAATTCATAATAGCTACATTTTGGAAACAGCCCAGATACCCATCAGCAGATGAATGGATAAAGAAAATTGAGTACTATTCTGCCATAAAGAAGGATAAACTTGAATGGATGTATCTCGAGACCATAATTTTAAGTGAAATAAATCAGAAACATAAGTTTAAATATCACATTGTTTCTCTTGGTGAGAAACTCAAAGGGTAACTAAGGACCAAAATGGAGGACAGATACTGGGAAGAAGGAAGAACATGCTCAAATGGGAAAGGGAACAAGGAAGGAGGCAGGGCGAAGGGAAGGAAGGGAAAACATCTTTAAAAAAATAGAATGGAAGGAAAAATGGAAACAAAGCATCTGTAAATGGGGAGGGAAGAAGGGTTGAGGAGAGGGAAATGGGAAAAAAAGAATTAAGATTATGTATAGGGCTGGGGATTTAGCTCAGTGGTTCTGGTGCCTGCCTTGCAAGCACAAAGTCCCAAGTTTGATCCCCCATACCAAAAAAAAAAAAAAGATATATCATGTACAGGTACAAATTCCCTATGATTAGTTTGATCATTACGTATGGCAAATATATCTAATAAAAATAAATAAAATATTACTGGCAGTAAGTATAAAGAGTATTAAACATAAATGTATATATTCTCTGGTGTATCAATTCATATCCTAAGCAATAATAATACATGTGCAAAAAAATAAAATAATAGCTAAGACAGAGAAAGCTGGGGAGGTGGATAATAGAGGTAGCTTCATGACAGCATGCAGAAGGGTTGCATGTGACAAATGGAGTTATTAACCACTCTTCTTTTATTCCCTAGACAACTTAAATTTTACCTAATCATTTAGGAATTTAAAAAAATACCCATTGTTTGAAATATACCATTCAATAACCTATCTTCTTTTTTAGATCAAGACCTAACCCTAGTTATGAATGTCATTTAAACTTTTCAGAGTTATTCCTTCAGAATTACACCTTTATTTATGCCAGTCCTACTTAGAACTTCATGAAGAGCATTCCTGGAATTAGAAAGAAAAGTTTCTATAATCATATAGGTACTAACCTGGTTTTTCTTGTGATTGTATCATTGAAGATATTCCATATCTCTCTTTAGCATAGTCCTACAAAAAAAGTTTCTTGTATCATGACTTGTTATTTAAACATACAAACACTAAAATTAATTTATTTTTCAGGATCATTTCATTAGTTCAGTCACCAGTTTTTAAATATGGCAATTTATCATTCAATGGTAATCTGTCATACATTTACATATATGTGTACAGAAATAAGAAAAGCACCTTGTTTCTGGTTTTGGAGATCACCAATCCTGGATGGATATATAATACACAGCAGTCTCAGAGAAAATTTACACACATGTACAACACAACTTAACTATTTTTTTCAAAAAAGGGGCTCAAACTACTTCAGAGGAGGAATATAAATTTCCTCTGTGAGGGGAGTAGGATAAAGTACTATATAGTTTTATTAACTTCAGGAAGAGATGTTCAAAGAGAACCAATGCTTTAGGTAAGCTTTCGAGTACCAGATGTCCACTTTATAGAAATCTGAGATGTTGGACAGAAGCTAACTACAACATTCCTTTTGTAAAACACCACCAAAAAATTCACCAGCTTCCTGTTTCTAAAAACTAGCTTGAGTATTACAGGTTACAAGGGCCATACAATGACAATATAATAACATCAAATTTCTTGTTATGAAGTTAGGAACAGGAAATGGGAGACTTTAGGTCCAGGGTAATAACAAATTATACTTACTAAAAAGATATGCGGCCTTTTTTTTTTTAATCTTACCTCCAAAATGACCTCTTAGAATCCTTCCAGCTATAAAATAATACTGCAAAAGTGCACTGCTAATTTATATAACAAATCAAGAACACACAAAAATAATTTCCTTAGATTTTTACTAGTTAACTTAAGATCTGTATTAGTCATTCTAATACAGCCTGTCATTCTACAGATACCTGTTTGAATCCTCTTTTGGATCTGGAGAATCCTGGATTTTGTGTCTATATCAAAATAAGCTGCACCTGTTAAGGTGCTTACTGAAAGACTTTTTAAAATACTTTTCAAGTATTAAAAAAATACACTTTTAGGACTAAAGCTACACAATGAACGCTGAAAAGATGAAAATGTAGAAAAAAAAAGATGAAAATGTGTGAAGACAAAAAAGATGCCATCCTTTCTAATTAGTACTATTCATATTTCAGCAACCCTTATTCCATTTAATGCTCTGAGATGGCTTATTGATTATATAGCTTAGCACAAATTCAGAAAAATTCCTCAATAGAAAAACTAGGAGCTAAGGCTCAATATTGCTACAGCACACATTACTTGTGGAATGGTTCAAACCCTGGCTTCTTCAAAGCGCCTAAGGATCACTGGGTGTTCATCTCAAATGCATTCTCGGTAACCTTTGCTATTAACTAACTTCACTGGAGCACTGAGCGAAATGAGAATAAAAATGTCATGTGTTCTTTAAAGCTGTTACATGAAAAATGGTCATTAAACATATTGGCAGATGGCTTTGCAAAGTACTGTGATTACTTGCCAAAACATTAGGAACATGGGGGCTGAGAAGAGATCAACTACTACAAGTTAACAAAATTTTACCGAAGCAGGCGTGGGTGGGGGTGGGGGCCGTGGGGGGTGTGCATTACGTGCAGAACGTGCAAACCGAGGCTTTAAGTCTGACCCCTCGCTGCTACTTCCGGGGCAGTACGTGCCTCAAGTCCACCCTACCCCCAGGACAGTTCTCGCAGACCAGGCGACCCTGCGAGAAAATAGGGCCAGAGCTCGTCTGCCACGCTGCTGGAGCCACAGCACTGCAGGCCCGGTGGAGAATCCGAGAGCACGGACCCGAGGCCCGAGGCCCGAGGCCCAATGAGAGATCGCGAGGCAGGGTCCTGCTCACCGCCCTCTCTCTCAAAGCGCGGTCTGGCCCAGAATCTGCCCTCCCAGGCCCGGGGATGGAGGAAACCCACTTCCGCCGCGTCCATGATCTCCCGCGGCTTCTCCTGACTCTTACGGCTGGCGCTGGCGCTGGGCATCGGGACACTGAACCCAGGAGTGGACACCACCCTCCCTCGCAGGCTTCCGTAAGGCCGACCAAGGGGCTTCTCCCTCCCGCACAGTCTCCGCCCTTCGACCCTCCTCCGTTCTCAGGACTGGCGCGGACTCCGCTAGGGTCGGCTCAGGAAAGATCGCGAGAACTGAAGCTCTCTCGAGATCTCGGAGCGCAGGGGAGTGAGCGGGAGAGAGTTGTACTTGCTCTTCTCGCTTTCTCGCTCTTAGGGGATTGTTCGGGAGTTGAAGGGAATCCCCGGGAATTTTGTGTAGTCTCCCGGGATTGGCTCTGAGGGGCGGAGTTCTAGGGTACTTGTTGGCTTTTGCCCTAATGGCCTGACTTCCGATTTAGGCTTTGTCCTAAATGTACTTTTTGCTCTGTTCCCCTAGCAGCCCTTCCAACTCTTACAAGTTTCAGTCGCAAACTAGTCCCCAGAATACCCGTTCAACCCCAGGCCTTGATTTCTCCTCTTTTGTATATCCTGATCTTTATTTTTCCCAGCACAGGTGAGGCTCCTGGGGACAGAAGAGGCCTCTTGACGAACCATCGCTCTGCGGGTTGGGACACAGACTGCTGAGTTGTGGTACGCAGTCGGCTTGCTAAGGCATGATGGGTGCTGGCACCTAAGTAATAAGTGAGGTGGGAACATATGGCAACAATCGGGCCCACACCGTTGCACTGTTTGCCTTGATCTGTTGCACTGTTAGAGGTAGTGCATAAGTGTTGATGTTCCGATAGATAAATCTCCCCAAGTTAGGCTTTTTCTAAAAAAAAAAAAAAAAAGTAATGTCTCTTACTGACATTGCAAGTAATTCGAAGACTTGGTTAAATACTATTTCCCTTGCTAGATTTCTTTGCATGCCATAAGTTTCAAGCATCTTTGTAGTGTCTTAGCCTGGCATAGCTTGGTACAGTTAATGCTAGTTAAGCAGTTCAGGTAGACCCCAGCACAAATGACAGGTCTTTGGAAGTTCTTTCCTTCAAATGTTTGGATGCACTCCTAAAAGGACAGACATTGTTCCTGTCGTAGTGTAGCTTACTATTATTTGCAGGTGGGGTAAAATTTTGTTCTCTATTTTATTGGTTCTTAATACTACTCAGAGACCTGGTCTGACAGATGCTCCATCTCCTCACTACATCCTTGCATGATGTCAGAGGCAGGCAGACAACCTAACTTTTACAGTGGCTGACTGAAAGTAAAGTCGCATAGCCATTCCTGATTCCAAGAGCAGATTCCTTAAAGAGTGACATTGAATATTTGTGAGCAATAATACATTCCACTAAAAATATATTTCATAATCCTCATAGAGTTCCAACACAGGAATCTGACACCGCTTCATTTTAGCATTTTAAAAGGTTTTTGTTCCCTTGATTAAGTATGGAGCTAATTATGAACTGATTGTCAGAAATTTGAATACCAATCCCAACTGTTGTCCATTTCCTAGGGTAGAGATCCAATCTTTCCACCTGTTCATGAAGCCTCTCCAGGTACTTACTCCTTACTCTGGCTTCTTTGTCCTGAAAGAGTATTTTTATTTAGGTCATAGCCATGGAGTAAGACTATGAATGTGGTCTTGTTTTAGCCTCTTTTCCTGATAGTGATAGAAAAGAAACATTTGCAAGATGAGTGGTCACATACTATGTGCCTGAAGTCATGTGACTGTGTTCTAGTAAAGATACCACAGCAGCACTGAGGCTATGGTTTGGTTGAATTTGTCTACTGTCAACATCCTTAATCTGTCTGGTCTGTTTATAGGAGCTATTCTTGTAAAAATAGGAAAATGGTAGACTATTGACTAGGGTCTTTAAGGCTTGCACTAATCGCTGCCACTCCTCCTGAAGACACAAAAATGTTTGTGATTTCCTGTTGTATTTGGGGGCTAGGGAAGTGATTTTAGAGGTTTCCTCTTAGCCTTCTGCAGTATGATAGCCCTATCTCATAGGCTAAGGAACTGTAGGAGAATACCATGTTGCCCCTATTACCTTGCAGATATCTGTATAAGGCAGCGAGGCAAGGGCTTCAACTGCAGCTAATTTGAGTCTTCACAGATCATCCTGTGATTCTTCTGGAACACAAGAGGACAGGTGATGACTTCCCACTCATTTCCGTATGTCCTTGGGAGGCTGATGTGGAAGGTTTTTCATCACTTCTAGGGTTCTAATGAGGTATGGGATTTCTTATTTCCCTCCCCCAATGGAGTTGCAAAGCATAAAACCATTTAGCAAGCGTCTAGAAGTGACTCATCAACAAAAGGTTGCCCCACGACTCATGTTGCAGGAACCTTCTCCATTTTTTGTTTTGTTTTTGAGACAGGGTCTCACTATATAATCCAGGCTGGCCTTGAACTCACTATGTGTAGGGGACAGGGGAAGGGGACGTTACCAGAACCTCTGCAGTGAGTCCTGGTCTCCTGCGAGCCACGGCAGCACATGGCAAATTACAGGAAAGGTAGAAAAATGAGACTGAGAAGAAGCTGAGCTTTGGGTCTGATCAGTGCTGCTCTGGGCAGCAAAGACAAAGCCCCCAGCTTACCACACCTTTTATTCAGTACATCGGGAGAAACAAATGTAACAAATGACTTGTAGAGAGTTCAGTAGTTCACATTGGGATAAACAAGGTGTAACGGAAGGCTTGCAGAGAGTTCAGTACATCTCCGGCAAACAAGATGTTAATCAGTCCAAGAACAATGAGGAACTGAACAGATGTTTGTTCTCCCAGGATGTTTCTTGTCCTGGAGAATCACAGCATCACTGGATCAGTGAAGTCTCAGTTGTGACCGGAGGCCAAACTGGAGTTATTCTGTAGCTGGGCTGTAGGCAAGAGAACTAGGCTAACCAAATGATTTATCCCTAGAATTATGTAGCATTGCTCCCAACAACTATGTAGCCAAAGCTGGCCTCAAACTCAAGCTGATCCTCCTGCTTCAACCTCCCAAGTACAGGGATTACAGGCGGGCACCACCACGACTGGCTCAGCTCCATTTTTTTTTGTTTTTTGGGTTTTTTTGGTACCGGGGATCAAACTTGGACCTTGCACTTGTGAGGCAGGCAGCTGAACCACTGAGCTAAATCCCCAGCCTAGCTCCATTTTGTTTTATTGTTACCTTTGTGATGTGTGAGACTAGGATCATAGGGAACCGACACCTTTGGTTTGTTTTTTTCACTGTCTGCGTAATAAACTATCTGAATCTAAAAGTGGCTTGGCCTTTTGTGTTTTGAGACCTTCCTCAGCTATTTAGTGAATGATTGATTATCTACTTATGTTAAAAGTGGGGACTTAAAAACCTGAGCATTGGGCTGGGGATTTAGCTCAGTGGTGCCGCCGCCTACCTCACAAGCACAAGGTCCTACGTTCAAGCCCCAGTACAAAAAAAAAAAAAAAAAAAAAAAAATCTGAACATTTGCATGGGGTTTATCAGTTTAGAATTGTATGATACGATGACCTGGTTGGGCCATGTGATAGGCAAGATCAGGTGTCAGTATCTTCAGATCTTCCCCTTGGTCAGATTGTTCATTTAAAAAACCACTTTGATCTGCTTGAAGGGTAAAGGCCTCATTGCCAGTATTCTGAAAATCTCAGCATTAAACATGTATTTGGTCCCTGAATTCCCCTAGTTTTGGTATAGTACTAGTTCCTAAAATCAAAAGATCTATCCTTTTACCCTCTCCAGAGGATCGGTGATGTCAAGGTGAGAGAGGACTCTTGCCAAGAGTTGGGTAGAGAGGGATCCCTCAGTCTTCTCACATAGACTTTCCCCAAATTCCTTATTATAACTCCCCCTCCATCTACTTCCAGAGATACTTGGTGCAACTTCTGAGTATTTTGAGGTTTCTGTGATATAAATGAAATTGTTTCTCCTGAAACCTTAGGAATCCCTTTTTCATACCTGCTAAGTAAGTTACCACTACTCTATCTGCTTTCTGGAATTCCACGTTTTGGGAATGTTGTTCTCCCTGTTCTGTCATCCTCTTGATTATAGTTTTTGTGAGATTGGGGGTGGAAGCAAAATTAGATCTGCCACCTCAGCATAGAAATCATTTTTCAGGTTTTCTTTTATAATATCAATGTACACAAGGTTTCTAGCAGATAATTTATACTTATAATAAATACTAATGTTCATTTATTCTTTCAATGAATATTTATTTATTGTTCTAGGAACTGAACCCAGGGCCTCATGCATGGTTAGGAAGTGCTCAACCACTGAGCTATACTCCTAGCCCTCAGTGAGTGCTGTGTGCCAAGCATTAGTCTAGACATTTGGGTCATGTCAGAGAACAAAGCAGACAAAGATCTTTGTTATTGTGGATCTTATGTGTGTGAAGCTGAAGGTGCAGTAGAGACCCAAGAAGTTTGGAGAATCCAGGAACATGGATCATCTGAGGAAAACTACAAGGAGGGGGCTGGGGATTTAGCTCAGTGGTTCCACTGCCAGCTTTGCAAGCACAAGGACCCGAGTTCGATCTCCTGTACCAAAAAAAAAAAGAAAACTACAAGGAGAGAACAGAGCCAGTCCAAGAGAGAAGCAGTAGGTGCTACAACTACTAGCAGTGCCATGGGGCAGAGCCCCCAAGCCCTTTAGAGTTCACAGCTTGCCACAGATTGCCTTGGATACTGGATATGGAACTATAGGACTTAATGTTTGCCCTTCTAGATTTTGGAGTTGCTTTGGTCTTGTTCCTTTCTATCCCCCTATTTGTACCTTTGGGAATGGTAATGCTTATCTTGTGCCATTGTATGTTGGAAATGTTTAACTTTCTTTTCACTTGTGCAGGGGCTCACAGCTAAGAGTTTGCCTTAAATCTCAGAGGAGACTGGACTTGGTCTTTTCAGCAGTGTTGAAACTATTAGGACTTTGGCAACCTTTAGAGATGAATTATATGCCTTTTGCTTAAAGGGATGTGCATGAATCTTTGAGGGGCCAGGGACAGAATGTTATGGCTTGTGTCTAGATGTCCCCCCAAAGTGTTATGCGGTCACATGTGGGGCTTTTCAGAGGTGGATGGATCTAGAGTGTGACACCGGGATTGATTCATGGTGCAATGATGGGATTAAGGCCGCTAGAATTAAGGGTGTGAGTGCCCCAGCAGGTAGCCTGCATAAGATCTAAGAGACAGAATATTGCTAGTCACTTATTTGCTTTTTCTGTCTTCTGCCTGCCATGAACTGTTTCTTCTCTGCTGTGCCCCCCTGCCATGCCACCTTGCCTTAGAGGAGGTTGACTATGGACTGAAACCTCTACAAACTGTGAGCCAGATAAACCTTTCCTCCTTTAACTTTGGGTGTCAGGTATTTTGTCTCAACAACAAGAAAAGTAACCAAGACATTATGTTTTAGAGGATGGAAGCAGATAATAAATGTGTAAATTATGAAACATGTTAGGAAGTGATAATGAAAAGGAAGAAAAAGTAGAGCTAGGTAAGGGGAATGGCAAGTACTGGGGGTGAGTAAGGTGGAGTGTGCTGCAATATTAAATATGGTGGTCATGATAGGCCTCATTGAGAAAAGTGACATTTTGAAAATCTGAAGGCAGTGAAAGAAGTGGCCATGTACACATCCAGGGAAAGAACAGTCTAGGTAGGAGAACAGCCTGTGCACAGTCTTTAAGGTGGAAGGAACAAAGAGGTCAATGTTCGGTATGTAAAGTCTTCAAGGCATATAAAATGTGTAGGTCTCCTTGTTTCTATCCTGAATGACTCTAGTTTGCCATGCCTTTCTAAAACCTTGTGGTAAAAAATATAAAATTTACACTCTTAACCTTTGTGTTTTTTTTTTTGGTACCGGGGATCGAACTCGGGACCTTCTGCTTGCGAGGCAGGCGCCAGAACCACTGAGCTAAATCCCCGGCCCCACTCTTAACCTTTTTAAATACACAGTTTAGTGGTATTAACTATACAGTAGTTAGTGTTATTCACATTGTTGAGTGACAGAGCTCTGGAACTTTTTAATCTTGCAAAACTGAAACTTTATACCCATGTGCTATGGTGTGGATATAGTTTGTCCCCAAAGGTTTATGTGTTGGATTCTGTTTCCACCACTTCAGTGGTGCCACACAGGGGACCAAGAATCCATTGAGGTGGTGGAAATGTTAGGAGGTGGGCTTGGTGGAAGGTAATTAGATCAAGAGGGCAGCATTCTTAGAAGAAATTAAGTACTTTTCACAGGACAAAGTTAATTCCTGCAAAGGGAGGTGGGGAGGGGTTATTATAAAAGAGGTTGTCCCTCCCTGTGCTTGCTTCCTTATTCCCGCACATGTAGTTCTGCCACAACCTATCTCTTTTCTTTGCCGTGGTGTAGCCAGACACCCTGTACAATGCGGTTTGGACTTTCCAACCACCAGATTTATAAGCCAAATAAACCTTTTTTCCTTAAAAAGTATCCAGCTTCATGTATTTTATTATAGCAACACAAAACAGAGTAAGACACCACAGAACAACAAATTCTCATTTTCTTCTTTCCCCAGTTCTTGCAAGCACCAATCTATTTTCTGTTTCCATGATTTTGACTACTCTAGACATCTCACATAAGTGGAATCATATAGCATTTGTCCTGATGTAAATTGCTAAGCTTTTTGAGTTCTTATATTGCCAATTCATTCTGGCTCCAGCCTGCTGTCATGCTGAATTTAGCTATTTCTTCTCTCATACCTGCATGTACTTCAAATCATACTACTCCTGTTTACCAGCTGAATCAGGTGGGATTCCTTGGGCTGTGAAGGAAAGAAGCTCTGATGCAGACTATTTCAAACAATAAAGGAGCATATTGCTTGCATAGCAAGAAGTTTGGAAAATGGGAGGGTCCAGGTTTGGTGGGGGCAGCTATAACAATGTCATCAAGGACTGAGCAGTTCTTTCCCTCTCTTGGCTCTGTAGACTTTGCTCTCAGGTTGGTAGCAAGATGATTGGAGCTGTCATGAAGGAAGGAGAGAGACCCCCCCTACCATCTTGTGCCTCTCTTAGACAAAGAGATGTTTCCTCAAAGTCCCTGTGGAGAGATTTCCTTGACATTAATTGATCAGAATTGGATCACATGCCTATTCCTGAAATAGCTATTGATAAGGGAATGGAGATCAATAGTTTAATCAGGACTGCTGCGGAATTTGAGGGTGGGAAAGGGGTGTTGCCTCCACTGAAGCATATGAGTGAACTGAGAGAGGGACTTATAAATAAATTCAGATTCTGTTGGAAGAAGGAAGAGGAGAATGGAAGCTGAATATACAGTTACAGTGTCTACTCCATTAGCTGTGTGATTTAAGGAAAATCTTTAAAATTTCTGATCAGCAGTTGTCTCAAGAAAATGGGCACAACAGTAGTTTTCTCATGTGAGAGTTAAAAATATTTTATGTATAATAATTGAAATAAAACATATATAAAAACACCAAGGACATTCTATGACACATATTGCTTATCATTCAGTGAGTCTCAAATTGTGGTAATACCAGCATTACCTAGCGTTACAGGCTGAATTATATACCCCTACTTCTATATCTCCCCATTTATATTTGAAGTCCTAACCCCTAATTCCTCAGAATATAACTGCATTTGAAGATAGGGTCTTTAAAGAGTCAATTAAGTTCAAATGAGAAACTAATTAGTGTGGGCCTTCATCCAGTATGACTGATGTCCTTATAACAAGAGTAAATCATGACACAGACATACAAGGAAGACAGGAATCTATAAGACAATGAAAGAGGCATTGGAAGAAACTAACTCCATCAACACCTTGATCTTAAATTTCCATCTTCCAAAACTGAAAAAACAGATTGCTATTGTTTAAGCCACTCAGACTGTGGTGCTTTATTGTGGCAGCCCTAATACGTTTGGAAACTTGTTAGAAATGTGAAATCTTTAGCTTCATCCCAGACCGACCAAGTTAGAAACTCTTGACAGTGAAGCCCATCAATCTGTTTTAAAACTTCTTTAGGAAATTTTTATGTGCTCAAGTTCACAAAGAGCTGGTCTAGTTACAGTCTTGAGGCTATAGGAACACAATTAGCCTTTATATCCTAATTAGATTCATATTCCAACTCTCTAACCATTAGCTACCTATGTAATTTGGGATATTTAAAAAAACTTATTTCAATTTCCTCATTTATAAAAATGGGGCTAACCCTAATCCTTATCTCTTAGGTGGCTGTGCTGTAAAGTTAATCCATCTAGTTAGAATTTAGAACAGAGCTGGGTGATACTTGATGCTCCATGAATGTGACCTGTTAAGATAATGTGTAAATGTTGAATCTAAATCTCTTAAGTGTTTGAATTTGTAAAAACAGCCAAGCTTTTTGAAATTATTTGTAAACAAGGATCTGAGGATTTCCTTGAGTAAAGTTGAATATTCTAACCCCTATTTTGGCTGCATGAGATCTTTTTTTTCTTATGTCCTGGTTTTTTCCGATGTAGAAAATGTACGTGGTGCCAAGTTCTTTGGAGTTTATGCAAATAATGCATAACACGCATTGTTATATTGGTCTTCATCCTCTAGGAAGGCCTATTGTCATCAATTTTATATCCTGTTCCCATGAGAACTTCACCTTTTTCTATTTGCATTCTGTTCTTGATGGATTGTCTAGTTTCTCACTTGGACAACTTATCCTTTTTCTCCAATGGTCCATTTAAATCCACCTTCTATTAAAAAAATTTTCCATCAAGGGATCTACATATGCATTTCCCTTGTTTTTCATCTGCCTTGTATCTCAGGTGACTCCAAGTGTTTTACAGTATGCAGCTGTTCCTAGAAACTAATGACATTTTCACTGGGCAAGTTACATTTCCCAGCCTTGTTTCTGTATATTTGATTGTCTTCAGTATTTTATGTGAGTTGTAAACACACTGGGTAGAAACAACTCAATAAATGACAAACAGTAAAATGAATAATAAAAAGTTATAGTCTCATAAAATGAGAATGAAGCGGGGGTAGAGGGCTTTCTCAAATAGAAGTAAGCCAGCAATATCAGGATGTCTGAAATTGCTGGATGACTACTACTTCCCCTTAAAATATTCTTTTAGTCCCAAACTTGTTGTTTTTGTAATCTTCCTATGCAAGACACAATTCTTTTTCCTTTCTATTTACCTTCTTAATCACTCTAGGAAACATAACCATTCATTTATCATTCAGGCCTCAAATCTTGATGTTCTTTCTTACTGCTTTCTGTTCTCTCCCAAATTAAAAAAATCTATCAGAATCTTTGTCCTTTTTTCTTTTTAATGTTTTACACGTCTAACTTATCTCAAAGACCAAACTTTCTATAGTTGTGGGGACCTGGAGAGTTCAAGGTAAATAATAATTCATTTGGTTAGATCTTATTTTATAATTTCACATATAACTATGGCCATATCCAGAAATTCTGTAAAGGCCTTTAAACATTTTCCCCTAAATTGAAACATAAAATGCAAAGTAAATGTATAGTATATCATACTTTTTAGGAAATTGTACACAAGGGAGGAGGTACGGAAAAATACAATCTCAGCAATAGCAATTACAAGACTCTCATTGCTTCTTAATTATTATTCAGGTTCCCTTTTATTTTTTTCTGCTTTGCTCTTTAACACACTACCTTTCCGTTGTTGACTATAAGCTCATCATTGTCACTATTCATAGAGTAGGAGGTATGATTGAAATACACTGTGAATGTTTACATTTTAAAAAAATGTACTCCAGTAAAAGACACATTGCCTGAGTCCTCTTCAAAATACCTTCCTTCCTCACCTCAAACAATTTATCCCATCATTCTTTCTACTTTCTGAAGCAGTTCTGGAAGTTTTCTTTTTGAGTGTCATTACTTGTGCTGTCATGGCTGCCTAGATGTCCTGAATCTATTCCAAATGTTTGCCTTTTATGGTCATTTAGACTTTGGGGAAGAACCAGAAGTCACACAGTGCCAAATCCTGTGATAAGGTGGATGAGGACGTACTTGTAATGTTTTTATGAGCCTGTCCTTCTGTTGGATGGGACTCAGCTGCAGCATTCACTGTATTTTTGATTATGTCTCACAAAACCATGAAAGAGAACCTCCAGAACTACATCAGAAAGTGGCAAGAACAATGGGATAAGTGTATTTAAAGTGAGGTGGAGTATTTTGAGAGGAAATAATGGTAATGTATCTTTTTACTGTAAATAATTTTAAAATTTAAATATTCATTGTATATTTTGATCACATTTCATATGTGGTCTTAACCTCTACCTCTGTTTTAAGGAAAAGTTGTTACTTTTAGAAATGTACTTCATTAATAATTATTTTCTCTAGCCTAAGTTCTTTATCTATTTTCACTCATAGTTCTGAATAGGATATAGACTTAAAGGAACCATTTTCCATATTCTGAAGAATAACCATATCTAAGTCATGTATAAGTATGTTATGCTAAATTAAAAATATTTATCCCCATTTACTTCTTCATTTTAGTAGGTAACTCTGGAATTCAAACTCAGATTTGTATTCCTAATTGAGTCACTAAATTTAAATGGTATTAAGAAAATCTCATTTCTCACTAATCTCTTAGCTGTGGTAGATCTTTCTAAAGATGGCTGCAACAGTTTCTCTCATTCTATGTGGGGTTTTTTTGGTACCAGGGATCGAACTTGGGACCTTGTGCTTGCGAGGCAGGCGGTGGAACCACTGAGCTAAATCCCTGGCCCATCTATGTGTTCTTTTACAATGTGACTGTCTTAGCTACTTTTCTCATTGCTGAGACAAAATACCTGATTACCAAAGTTAAACGAGGAAAGGTTTATTTGGCTCACAGTTTGTAGCGGTTTCAGTCCATAGTCAACTGCCTCTAAGGCAGGATGGCAGGGCAGAAGGGCGTTACAGAGGAGAAACAGTTCATGGTGTGGCTGGCAGAAGGCAGCAAAGTAGCAGCAGAAGCTGCAGCCAGCCTGCCTTCTTTCTGTCTCTTTATATCCATCTAGGTTACCCACCGTTTGGGTGGTGCCACCCATACCTACAGTAGGCCTTTCCACTATCCACACCCTGAACTGTGCCACATCAACCAGTGGACTAATTTAGTAGTCACATACCCTTGATCCCAGCATCAGACACTTAATTCCAGCATCACATACCCTAGATCCAGCCTTCTCTGAAAAGCCCCACCTATGAGGCTTTGGGGATACATCTAGACCCAAGCCATAACAGTGACCATGACACTTCCTCATCAAGAACCAGAATCTTTCATTTCCTCTGACTATAACCTGTTTTGACCAACACAATGCAAAATACCAATACAATGCTCTGTGCACAAAGTGGCTCACCCTTCAGTGATTCTGAAAATGGTGAAATAATAATTACAGTAGTATTGAATACTTTTGAATGTGTATAATGTGGCAGGTACAGTATAAAGGTATGATACTTATTAATATATTTAATTTTTAGAACAATTTTTTGA